CTTCAGAATTAAAAAAAAAATTAATGATAAAAACTAGAATTTTTAACTGAATTGACTGTGATATTAAATCCTGAATATTTTTGTATATTGATTGGAACAAAAAGTCTTTATATGGGTAAACGTAGTTGACTTAATTGCTTAAAAATTTTACAAATAAGAGTTTAAAGATTTTAAATGCATGATTTTATAACAAGACTTTATCCTTTGCTTAATCTTCACACGATAATCAAAGACTTCCTCATAATGTTGAACACTGAAGTAATTACTCTTTTAAGGTAATTGATGCAGTAACTATTGAAAACCTAATTTACTAATTAGTGGATGTATATTATAAAGTAATTAGTTAAAAACATCCTTTAGTGTCAAATTAAAAAATAATTAAATAAGAGCAAAACTAACTGGGGAACACAATAAAAATTACATAAACAAGTAATATAAGTATGCTTGAAGTCATTATTACATCATTACTTTTATAATTGACAAAATTGTTGATGCATATGGTTTGTGAATACAGTAGGGGTATTCACAATCTCGAGTAATGGGCTGGATAATCAAGTAACGTGATAAAATGCCAACAACAAAGTACATGTACTCAAAATGCATTTTGTTGTTGACGCTTAGAAATTACCAAGCTCGTGAATAAGCCTAATGTGTATTATTGTTTTTTTATTACCAATGCACTAAATAGTTTGTTGTCACTAATAACTCCCCTCTGCGGTGAAGAGGGTAGAATATTTCCGAAGTAGACATGCCTGTCGTGAGAGGCGACGAAAATCCCGGCGTTATGCCGACACTGTTTACAAGTATTCAAGGTAGTAAGTGACCGCCCAACTTGCGACACTCGACCAGAGGTGTAAATCTGATAATACGATAGTCAGTGACCTGCTGCCTCGGCTGTGCGGAACAGTTGAGATTGGACTCGTAGTGGCTGTGGTTAGTACACAAACTTACGCGGATTGAATGATTGAAATTTGTTTATCATTCACTCGGCGTGGAGTGCGTATTCATCACCCGGTGCTGAGACCCAAAGATCAGCAGAATTATTGGTAGGCCTCGCATTATACAGAGGTAGAAGTTATATCCTGAACACGTAACTTCATTATTACCGGCGGAAATTCCTTTGAATTTCCAATGATACATGTATTTATAGAGCACCGTGGCCTTAAGCCGTCAAAGCATGTACCCACGCTAAACAACACTGATACTGTCACTAATAACTATAACTGCTTATACGTGTGTTTGTTATAATAATTATTGATCAGAAATGCATCAGACAGAATGTCTGCAATGTGAAAACATAAAATATCTATAATTGATTTATTCCAAACTATTATGCAATAAATGTATTTTATTTAAGTTGTAAAAATGTATCTATGATCTAATTTGAATTAGGGTTTAGTTTAACACATTGTAGAAACAAAACACATAGCGGAAAATAATAGAAATAATAATAGAAAGAGAAAGGATACACAAATGTTTAACAGTCGGGAAAGAGGATACTGACAATATTATCACAAGCTATCTACTACTCTTAAAAAAAACAAGCCCTAATTAATATTTTGAACTTATATTTTTTTTGTGTTCTTCCACTAAACATAGCCCTAATTTAATGATTGTAAGATTAGTTGTTATAATGTTCAACCCTAATGATTATGTAGAAAAATGTAAAAATGACAAATTTTATTTGAAGAATATATATTAATTAATTAAAAAAGAAAAACAAATGAAAATGTAAATACTAACTGAAGGTGAAATCTAAATATCTTCAATAAGGTAATTACTTTTTTTTTAAGTGAAACTTAGAGTTAGAGAAACAAGTTTTAAGAGCCTAAATTAAGTTCAGATTTTATGGTATTTGGATTTTATTAAAAAGTAAAAATTTATTCCTGATTTTTAAGTCGACGGCAATCAAAGCCGGTTTCGAGGTTTGAATGAATTGAATGAACAATTTATATATAAAACTCAGTTTGGTCACAAAAATTTTAATAAATATGAAGTTTCATCATTATTGCCAAATAAAACGTTCAGAAAGAAAATCAATACATACTCGTATTAATATGACAGATTAAAAATTACCACATATTGATAGACATAAAGACGCGCTGTATGTAGGGTATATATGAGATATAATAAAAGAACATGTTAATATATTATATCTCATTCAAACATCTATAGAAGTCGTCCTCTGCTGAATGGTTAAATTCAATATGGCAAGAGTCAATGATATTTAGATATCTACAAAATAATTGTCCCTTCTTAAAAAAAAACTGTTAAATAGGAAACCTTTGTTGGAGATTGTACTCGTATATTATTGATTTTGCAGTATATGCAAAGCGTATGTTAAACATGCTAGCAATAGATCTGCTTATATTATTATATTTAATATTTATATTTTTATATTTATATTTATGTTTTTCGTTAATGACCCGAAATGATATTAAACCCACTTAAAACAATGATAAGTGAAATGAGTTGGAACACTTCCGGCGAGAAGCGACCTGCAGATGGTGATCTGGTGGTATATTCTGGCATGAGTAATTTGGACGACCCACATGTTAACGGCGTTGGCATATATTTAAGTCGTATAATAAGACCAGCTTTACTTGAATGGCATCCAATATCTGAAAGAATCATAACAGCGTGAATGATTTCTAAAAATCGATAGAATCAAAATAACAATTATCAAATGCTTCGCTCCAACAGAAGAAAGTGAATTTGAAGCCAAAGAACAATTATACAATTTGTTAGATAGAACGCTTATACAAATTAATCGCAACGACCTGGTAATATTGATGGGTGAATTTAATGCGCGTATAGGGGCCGTCAATACGGGAAATGAAAATGTGATCGGAAAACATTGGAGAGAAAAACGAATATGGCGAATTCCTAATAGAAACATGCTTCAACCATGGATTTATAATTGCCGGTTCTCTTTTCATCCACAAAGGCATACATAAAATAACGTTGACTGCGACTAATCCGGCACTGAGAAATCAAAACTCTCAAATAGATCTACTCCACTCGATCAACTCGATGTCAGAAATAAACCTAGTGCGGAAATAGGTAGCGACCGCTACAATATTGTAGCAGAAATGAGACTAAAAATCATATCGGTGGCTTGTAAGAATATGATTGGCAGGAAAAGATTTTAGATCCATAAACTTCAGGAGAGTAATATTAAGTCAAACTTGTCTCAATCAATTCGCACTAGATTTGAATAATGTTCCAAAATAAACAATGCAACAGATATATATAATCTATGGGAAAATGCAAAACAATCCATTTTAGAGGTGCTAGGAAAAGAAACGAGAAATAATAGAGAATGGCTAAGCGTATTATTCTGGCAATTAGTTGAAACCACAAAGACAAAAAAAGAGATGCTACTGAGTAAAGAAAACCTAAGAAATGGTGTGGCACTGCGAAGAGAGATCGCCACACTTACTAAACAAATAAAAAGACAAGCAAGAGCAAATACAAGGGCGTTCTACGATAAATTGGATAGCGAAGCGAAAGCAGCAGCATCTTAAGGCGATCTGTGAGAAGTATTTAATATCACCAGAAAGCTATCCAACGACAACAACAATCAAACTGTGCCTTTAAAAGATAGCAAGGAAAACTCTATAACTATGGAGGAGGATCAATTAAAGATGTGGCGCGACCATTTTACCAAGAGTTTCAATGTGTTAACAACTAATAACGATTTGCCGCAAATTGGTCAACCAAGTCGACCATTACGCAATATATGTAATGAACCTCTAACTAAACAAGAAATGGTAAATCTGCTGGCGTTGATAATATTCCAGCTGAATGTTTAAAAGCTGATGTCGATTGCACAACTGATATGTTATATCCTCTCTTTAGAAATATTTGGCACAATGAAGAAATCCTTTAGAGTGGAAAGAATCGATAATAGTAAAAATTTCAAAAAAGGGTAACCTCTCTGACTGCAACAACTGAAGGAACTGAGGAATAGCACTAGACCCAGCAGTGAGCAAAGTTTTTAACAAAGTAATACTAAATCGCATTATAGATCCAATCAACGCACAACTTCGCAAAAAACAATAGGGTTTCCGGCCAAATCGTTCATGCATTGACAACATTAATAGTATGCGAGTCATTATTGAACAATGCATTGAATTCAACAGCACTTTATATGCAGTATTCATCGACTACGAGAAAGCTTTTGATTCTATCAAGAGACTGCATATGGTTACCCTTAAGAAGGATAGGAGTGTCAGAAGTGTCGAAATTGATAAGCTAGCAACTAATTTAACTGATGTAAAGATTAGAAATAGCAACCCTACTTAACATTATTTTATAGGTCTACATAAGTTCCATACCACACTAATACACCTATCGTATTTGATAATGTCTATTGCCTGTTTTTCTACTTTCTGGAAGAGCAGGAGATATTTCAAAGACGTTCAGATATTTCCGTTTCGTTGATTTCGAAGTAAATTTCAACAACCTATCGATCTGCCCATTTTTCTTTTCACAGATCATTGCAAACAAATTATCATAAATTTATATAATTCGCACAAATTGTTTACAGTTTAACGAAGTTGTTAACAAATTAAATAAACAATGAACTTTTTTGTCCATATAAGAATGAAAACAATAAACAATTTTTAAAATGTTAACACAAAACAACAAAAGCATGTGATACACAGGTTGCAATAATCACACGAGGTTGTTGATAATGTAGGGAACGTCAATAGCTGTTTTGCAAAATATATCTACATATATACATAACCCTAAATATAGAATAATATTTACTTATGACTAAATTCATTTGAGCAAGCTTTAAGTGGCATTTTAAAATTTTAGCGTTAAACATTGATTTTAACACATTAATTGGTTTATGAACAAAATAAACAAATTGTGATCAAAATAAGCAAAACATTATTGATAAAAATGTATAATTCATAAAAATGTATTTGCTTAAACTTTATATATAGATGTCTTCAACAATAAATTAATTATATACTTTTTTATTACAGCTATATAACACCAACGACTACCAACGGAACTGTATCTTCAAGTGCAATACCACCTGGCGCCACTAGTCTCATTTATCCAACTACAACAGGCCAAGTCTACCGCATACATCCAGCAACGACTATAGCCAGTGTACCGGCAGCACATCAAGGTACAGCAGCAAATGTCGAGGGTAGTGATTGTATAGATGGGGCTGGAAGTGCGAGTAAAGAATACTCTAACAGTTCAAGCGGTTTTTCACAGCGTTTACGTGAATTAGCCGCATCGGCTGGTCTACTCTCACTTAAACCACGTCAACCTTTGAAACCAGTTATAAAAACACGTGGCTCTCCAGGACCTGAATTTCCAAAGAAAGTTACCTTCAGCGCATTTGCAACGGTACAAGTTGTATAAAAAAGCAAGTTTATGTCTTTAAACTAATATCAAGTAAGGTGGGTACATAATAATTCATATTGCATTACTCATATATTTATATATTATATACGAATATAATAATTTTTCCAATTTTCTTAGGTTTTTTTAGAATATTTTGGTGTATTGCTACCAACACAACTGTTTTGTTAAATGTTATGTACTTTGCTGTTGTTATTTGGAATTAAGCTGTGAATGAATGCAGAAATTAGATAAATCCTGGTCACTAATAATATGGATGGAACTCTAAAGGAATTCAGTTTCATAGCTTTATTTCTAATTTAATTATAGTTAACTGAAAATATTTAAATATTTTTTGTTTATGTATGTTTGTTGTTGTTATATATGTATATATATTTATATATTTTGTAAAAAATAACATTTTTATCATGTATATTATAATACATTAATATTGTTAGAAAAATATTTTAAGTGAAATTTAAATGAAAATGAATTGTGCCATTTTTGTGGCCTAATTATTATATTTAATAAAAACATTTGATAAATTAATATATTAAATAATAAAAAATTATAATAATATATGTGTATAAATAATAAAAAAATGAGCTTCCTCCTTTCGTTCACCAAAGTCACCTCTCTATTATGTCAGAAGTAATCTCGTCCTTTACAGATAATAGTATATTATTCACATCTTCATATCACATCACATTGTACTCGTATGTATTGTAAAATGTTACGAAATATTTTAGCTGTGAGAAGAGGTTAAGTCCCAAAATCCCCCTCTTTCTCTTGTTCTATGTTATATACTCCACTGGTCATTTAACATATATTTATAGAAGTGAATCAAATATTTGACAGACAAATTCTTCTGACTTTAATAAATACATATTACACTATAGTTTCTTGGAGATGAAAGAGGTGGATACTTTTTTAATACAATAGAGAGAAGGTAATGGCGATCAAATAGAGGAAAAGAACCGTCGTTAATATATGTAAAAATAAGTTAATTACTAAATAATAAATACATTTCATAAAATGAAATAATGAATATAATAGTTTATAACACAATGATGTTTAAATAAATAAAACAAATGTACTAAAACATATACACTGAATAATATATAAAGAATATAAATGTTTTTATAAAAAATATTCCATGCCTTGTAACTCAATAAGAAAATAACAATAATTTCTTAAAGTAAAACAACTTTCTTCATAAAATCCTAGATTTTGTATCTGACTTTTGTAATTTCAAACATATTACTATTATAATACTATTAATGTTATTAATGGGTTATGTGCACGAAAATAAGCCGTAAATAAATCAGTTGTAACAATGCTCCGTCCTGAGAAAGAAGTCAAATAAACTTCGAAACATTGGCTATATTTATATAGACCTTTAAAAAACCTTTAAAAAGATTTTTAATATTATGAAAACAATGAACTAGAAACTTTCTAATTTGTTTATAAATGCACGAGTATGGGAATGAAAATTTGAATCAATTTTAGCCTACATATCTTTACATCTTAGAAACACCAACTAATATATAAAATAACAACAACTAGATAATTAAAATCATATTAAAACAGTAATTTAAAATAAATATGTCGAATAAGGCTTCAGGACCACTATATAAAACAGAATTATTTATACACTATTTAATTTATATATAATAAACAATTGTATAGAAATTACTGGTTACTAAATAATTCGGGGTTATTTAAAAACTATATACTCGTATGTAAAAATGATTATAAACGATTCGCATTACTGGAAAATAAACCATATTACGATTTTGCAAACTATTACACTCCTATCAAACATACCTTAACTCATTTCTACTCTTCGCTGGTGTTATCATACTTTCTTCCCATGGACTAGAGGAGTCTCACATCGGTTTTTAATAACACCAACTACTAGTAAATAAACAATTTTGTATTTATTACCCTTAATCTAGTATCTTAAATCGCAATAATATCCTAGTCCTAAAGGAGCAATCAATTTTATTATATCAATAATTACTGTTTACTGTTTGGACAACTTTATTTAAATTTTCTTATAATTAAATTTAAAAATAAACTTTAACTAAGCTTTACTTTTAAGACTGACAATGTTTATATTTTATTGAAAAAAAGTACACAAAACTTCATTTCGAACTTCATTAAAAATTTTCAGTATTTTGAGTTGAATTTATAAAATATTAAGTTACAAAACTACAAAATGTTCTATTTGAATCAAATTCTAATTTTCGTTGTATTTCTTTATATGTAAATCAATTTAAGCTGTTTTCTCTAAGTGTACTGAAACGATATAAGAACAACAAACAATGCACAAGAATATAAACAAATTCATTGCATTAATTTATTTGTAGTAAATTAATGACGAAATGATAATAAAAGAACCAATTAACAATTTAATTAATTTGTATATATAGAAAGTAATTGTATCAATGCCTGTACATGTATGTATGTAAGCAAAGCCTAGAAATACTCCTTGACATTTTCATCAAGGCAATATAGTCATTTTTATATAAAAAAGTTTGCTTATGTAATATTAAATTTAATTCTTTAATATCCCTAAATAATCTTACAACTTATTAAGATAAAAAATGTGCATAAATACGTAAAAAGTGTAAAGAACTCCATATCTGTATATGAATATGTTTATACAATATACAATACATGTTACTAAATTTTTGTATTTAACTAAAATAAAAAATGTATGCATTAAATACAAACCTAAACGTTTTCATTTTATTTTTAGATGAGTAAATAAATAAAATTTTATTAGCAAGTGGAAAAAATGGGGCTACTTAGATATTGCTCTTATTTTAAATGAAGGACAATTTTCGTAGACTGCTACCTCAAAATAGCTTTTAATATCGAGATGGTGTAAAGGTGCAGAAACAGTTTTCCTCTTAACACCACTATCCAACAAATTTGAGTAACTTGAAGTCATAATTAGTAAGAAGCTATAATGAAGTAAATACCTTAAAATAACGGTGAGATACAGAATACATTATAGTCTGCTAATCTTTCTAAGATTAAAATTGAGAAAAAGATCCTAAATTAAGTATTTGCCTATATATGTTATATGAGAAAACGCTTCTCATATACATATGTATAATTTGAAGCCTCTATGTTGCACTGGCTCATTAATAAGAGATCCTCCCTGTGCATGGAATACAAAGTACTCTTGTATAACAGCATCATAAAACCAATATGGACTTATGGTATCCAGCTATTTGGTAATGCTAGTGCTTAAACTATTGAAATTATCCAAAGAGCTCAGCCAAAAATACGGCGAACAATCACTGGTGCCCCATATTAGGAATAAAAATATCCACCGAGATCTAAAAATTCCCTTAATTAAAACAGAATTTGACAATATAAGAAAAATACAATAAAAGGCTGACAGAACATGTTAACCACTTAGAAAAGGATCTAGCACTTCTATTCATTACTTCCTGCTTAAAAAGAGCTAACCATCTACCGGTTAATTAAAATTCAATATCTTTAAGTAAAAATCCCATTTTACTATTTTTAATAATCCGACAAAGATTTATTGTCTACTTAAACCACCTAACATTCACTTCAATGAAGTTTAACCCATTGATTTAAGTTAGGTCCGTGATATAAGGTTTACTAATTTTATTTTATATTATACAATGTTTAGATAAAATAAAAAATTGTAATATTATGTAATTAGTGATAAGATTTTAAAACTTATTGTAAGTCTCATTGTAAAAGAAGATACAATAAATGTTATTGTATCTCAATATACATATATATTACTCTCATATTATTAAAAAAAATATATATATATAATGCTATCACATAATTAAAGATTGCAACACATATGAGTGCGAAGTAAGATTAATAAACAGACTTAATAGCTCTAAGCCGTTATTCTAGAACTGGTATAGGCCTCGAAAGTATACTGAGTCAGGATTTGCCATCCACTAGTTCTATTAAATATGCATGATCATAGCCTAAGTTCATAGTTTGAGGCTCTCTCGCACTCA